CGGCAAAAAAATTAAAATAATGTATTTAAATTAAATAATTACGCATTTAATGTTGTTTCGTAAAAAATTACACATCTACTGCACAATGTGACGCCAGTTTTACGCCCAAAACTAGCGTCACATGTGTGCTCTATATATTTCCTCACCCCCTCCATTCAATTCACACCTCTTCTCTCACTCTTCATATCTCTCTTCTCCACCAACATTCCTTTATCTTTAATTTAGTATTTGAATTTTAGTTGTAATTCTATTTAAAAATGAGCTCAAATAACACAGATGGTCCTGCACTGCTGCCCGGCACATCAAAAGGGGTGTGTCCCTGACTGTGAGAATCTGTGGCTAGAGTCTCCCCACTGTCATGGCTCTGTGCAACAAGGCCTACAGAGCGATACAACTCCATCGTGTCCTCCGCAGACCAAAAGGGGTAATCGGCATCAAGTCCCTGTGAATAGGGCTGGAAATCAGGCTGTGAGGATGCCAGATCCGCTCCTGCCATAGCCATCGGACTAACCTGGAAAACTGGCTCCTGCCCGCTCATGTAAGGGTGCTCAGACGCCGCCTGACTAGGACCTGCCGCATACTGCGATCCGTGATGATAAATCGGATGTGACCCGTAAGTAGGACTAAATGCTGGAGGTCTAAACCATCCCTGAGTCTCGACCACTGGTCTAGGTGCCATAATCGGGACAGGCTCAGCAGCAACTCTCTCACGTGTACGTCCTAATCCGCGTCCCTCCCGTCTATTACGAGGAACATCCACGATCAACTGAGGATCAGGCTGAGTCTGCACGGGGGGTGCCTCAGGTCCAGGCTCATCAACTCGTGAACTCTCACGAAACATCCCAATAATCCGGCCTATCTCCTCGTGGATATACTGTAGTCCAAATCGAGGAAACTCCTCCGCCGTTGTTGCATGATACAGCATTTCAAGACCGTCAATCTGCATATTACGAAAAAATGTTAGTTGTAATTTGAAACAAATGTAAAATAAGTACAAAACTCACCATGCGCCCTATCTTTGCTGCCCTCCGTGATATGTAGCGCTTTCCCTCTCTCTCTGAACCACTCCATGTACTCATGATTAGGTGACATCAAACCATATAATGGAGGTGGCAGTACAATATGCTGAATCCTAGTATTCCATCGATCAATGTGAGCCCTGAGCTTACGTCTCCAGTTCTCTTCAACCTTCCCCCGTAGAGTATGATCATGTATTCCTCTCAATTTTCTAGATTTTTCCGGGATGGGTTGATTAAGACCAAACTGTCGCATGCACCTATCTGGTTGACATGCCTCAACTGTGTGGAAGTAGATAATAGGTGTGGGAGCTAGCCACAGATACTGCTGCTCTGGAGTCACGTCAAGCCACTCATATTCTATATACGGCTGCCACACCACCTACAAACAAAATGTGAAACAATATATAGAGTTACAAAAAAAAATAAACCCATAGACAAATAACAACACCGTAAGTATCTAACACCAAACTTCATCTCTACAGAGTGTGTCCAATGTTGCCCGATAATGGGTGACCTCATGAGGTTTAAACTTTTGTACAGCATTAAACCTGTCAATCAAAAACATTATCAACCATACATAATCGTCCAAAGTCAAGAAGTATACAGTTAGTACATACAGTATTAACCATACATTATCGAAATCAAATGAAGTAAATAAATCATACCGGCATCCATAATGTGTGCCCGGCTGTGGATGAGGAGGAAGGGGTGGAGCAATGGGTGGGAATCGTATCCATGCCCAAATTTGAAGGATAATATGGCAACCACCCATGTCGCTTCGACGGGCATCTGTCACTTCACACAAATTCCTGAACAAGTGTGTCAAAACTGCAGATCCCCAGCTGAATCGGCCAATGTCCTCAAATCCTCCACCTAGCAACGGGACAAGCCGACAACCAAAATTGCTACCTCCAGACTTGTCCGCCAGCAACCAAGTCCCCAACATCCGCGCAATGTGAGCTTTTGTGAAGTAGATCTCGGCAGCATGATTCCCTTCATGATCAGTCCACCGGGTATAATGTCGATCCAAGAATGAGATGCGGAGGTCGCCAGAATGATGGAACTCACCGGCCTCTGGAACATGTCCAAAAACACCAGCACAAGCAGCGTGCCAATCCTCAGAGGTCGATCTGATGACGACAGTACCGTCGGTCAGCAAGCCCAAGATGCCTGCCACATCTTGTAAGGTGATCGTCATCTCACCTTGGGTCATGTGAAAGGTAAGTGTCTCTGGTCTCCACCTCTCGACCAGAGCACTAATTAAAAATGTATCTATCTGTGATAAATTACGCAGTTATCACGTGTTAACGAATTACATTATTTAATTACATAAATACAAAACGACATAAATAACATACCTTGATATGTTGCATCCTGGCAACATGTATGAAACCCGCATGTCTGAGGTACTCTTCCACAACCTGTGGAATAGCACCGGTAGGTGGGCCCCCTTGTGGCTTCCCACGCCTCGTCTTAATCTTTCTTACATGCTCAGTATTCCACACACGCTGTGAAATATGACCTTTCTGCGTCCTCTGACGAAGGACCTCCCACCTGTAGGGTCCAGGTATGATCCACATGCTGGGATCGGTGGGCTCTACATCCGAATCAGATCCCGAAGAAGATGATGACTCAACCATTATCCTTAACTAACTACAAAGTTATGCACTCCCGCATTAGTAACATCATACATACGAAATTTACAAAGTCTCTAACACTATTTATAAATCACTAATTAATATGCTAAACCCTAATACAGAATTAAAAATCAGTAATAATAATAACTACGTAATAATAATATTACTATATCGTTACAACATTCATAGCATGACACAAAATTTCTAAGTGACTATCCTAATGTTCCAAGTCTCTAATATACAATCAATCCTAACATGTATTACTAACTAGCACTGTAATTTAAATGTATACATATGAGGTATTATGACCTTACCTACGTTGGCAGAGCTTCGCTACGAACCGCGGTTAGAGAGAGGTTAGAGAGAGGTTGGAGAAGTAAATGAGTAAGGAGTGAAAAAAGGAAAGTGGGGTATATATAGGTTGCACATGAGACGCTCTCTTTGGGCGTCACATGTGACGCCCCACTGGGGCGTCTTCTCTAGGAGAGAGACGCCTCATTGGGGCGTCACATGTGACGCCCAAAGAGGGCGTCTCATTGTGCAACAGATGTGTAATTTTTAACAAAACAGCATTAAATGCATAATTATTTTAATTAATTACATTATTTTAATTTTTTTGCCCTTAGCCTATATATTGATTTTATCTAATGTTATGGACAGAATCAACAAAGAGCAATTTAAAATTTAAATCAAATATAATTATGAAAAGATATATATCACTAAAGGCCCATATCCTACTTAAAACTTATAAATACTAGGTAAAACCTAAAGTTCTCCCCACCAGTAAATACTTGGAAGAGGAAATTAGATCCAAAATCAATTTCATTGTGCGGGCTAGACATCTGTGTCTCTTATACAATACAGAACATCTGAGAATTGAATATCCTTTTTGTGACTGCAGTTCTTGTGTTGTTCATATCAATCGGCGCTCAAGTCATTCTCAGTTCGATTACGTTAGGGTTGGTTCTAAAGTTGGCATGGCGAGAAACAAAGCTAAGAGATCGCGTCGGGATTACGATCATCGTCAAGGAAAGAAAGAAGGTGAAGCAGATGGTCGTGGTGTTAGGGAGTCTCGTCGGAGAATTAAAGATCGCAGTGCACGTGAGAAATCAGAAAGGGATAGGGATAGGGATAGGGATAGTGATAGGAGGCGTAGAACTGACGACAAGGATGGTGACAATGAGAGGGATCGTAGGGAGATGATGGACGTGAGAAAGTGGGAGGAAGAAACTAGGAAGAAAGAGGATGATGGAGATGCTTACATTCCTCCCCCTTTTAAGTTGGCGGCCAGGATGATGAAACAAGAAGTTGAGGACAAAACTAGTGCTGAGTATCAACGGTTAACTTGGGATGCTCTAAGAAAGAGCATCAACGGACTTGTGAACAAAGTAAATGCAAGTAATATAAAAAACATAGTCCCAGAATTATTTGCAGAAAACTTGGTTAGGGGAAGAGGCCTCTTTTGTCGGTCATGTTTGAAGTCCCAGATGGCATCTCCGGGTTTTACGGATGTCTTTGCTGCGCTAGTTGCTGTTGTGAATACCAAGTTTCCCGAGGTGGGGGGTCTTTTGTTAAGAAGGACTCTTTTGCAGCTAAAGAGAGCTCATAACCATAAACAGACAAACCCAAATCCATTAGCATCTTTATTATATTTCTCATCAAGCCTCTGTTTATCACTTCACCATTCCTTTCTCTAAGCACAAGTTCAAGAAGTGTATCTAGAAGCCTAGCCTGAGTTTTGCTGGAATGGATCACAACATCTCTCCAAAGATTCAATCCAAGCTCATCAACAGGAGTTTTATGGTTGCTTGGTATGAAAGTTCGATCCATGTACATCAGTATGTCTCGGATCATTTGCAATGCCTTGTTATGATCTACCCACTTCCTGTTGAGCTCTTCCAAGAAAATTTCCCCTTGAGCAGATTCAATTGATTGAGAAATTTCTCTTAGATGAGAAGTCATGGTTGTCACAAGTCCTAAGTAAAGTTTCTCCCCAAATTTGTGTAGCACCATATTATAAGCATTCCTGAATGAACAGATCATGATGATCAGAAATTTCAGAAATATATGCCCCCAAACATGAAGTTTAGCGGGGAGATCTGTCATAGTTATCATTTATAAAGTAAGCTAAGGCAGTTATTTTAATTTAATGCAAACTAAACTACAGGTCTATTGCATAACATTAATTATATAAAGCTCCTGATTTTTGTTCAATTATAAACAAATGACAAGTAAATGGAGATTTATTGATTGAGTAAATACAGATTGAGATCTTAGAAACATGAGCTTTTTCTTCTCACTAAATTCTATGAGCTGAGGTAAGAACCATCTGCAATTTCTTGACCATCCGAATAAGAGTAACCAAAAGCTGGTGAACTGACCAGACAAATGGCATAATGATCTAAGACAGCCAAACAGCATCAGAGAGCTTTTGTTATACAGCTGAGATGTGAGGATGGAAATAAAGAACTTATGCAAGTATACTATATATGTATCTCCGTCAGCATTTACTAGTTGCAACCCCCAAGCTGACCAAAGCAGGATAAAAGCAGGTATGTTTGCAGGTATAGCAGCCACTATCAAATCAAATGACATCCTAAAAGTAAAAACAACCTCAATCAGTCCTGCATAACTTGAATATGAGAAAAGTCAAATATTCTGATGCATGCATGACCCAGGATACACCAATTACATAAACTCCATTTGATGTTAAGAGTCAAAAACTTCATACTCAAAATCCACAAATTGAAAAGCAATTTTAGAGATACTTTTCTCTAAAATTCATCAAACAAAAAATTAGCGCTTCACATAGACTGTTGAATTCAACATATATCTTCAGCAAGGCCTCAAAAAGAGAAAGGACGGAAATGGATCCTCTTATGCTAGTTTTTCATATGAGAAGAACACCTAGAGAGGGAAACAAAGACACTATCCAGGTGGAGTCTTGCTAGAGTTTGAGAGGCCCTATTTAACATCTCTGTGTCTTCTTCTTTCTCCACAAGACTTGCTATGTACTAAACTATCATTCCGGGTAGATAGGCAGGCAACTTAAAAATTAATAAAAAAGAGAGCTTCATGATTAATAGATACAATTCGTGAAACCCTTTTAATCTGCCATTCAAATTTTCGCAGACAAATAACTCCCCATAACCAAACCAAATGTTCAGTAATATAATTGATCAACAATTCTTAATCCACAAGGTTAAGAATTTCACACTAAGTAACTGAGAACATATATTTAAAAATAAAATAAAATCATACATACAAAACACAATAAAATCACACTATTGAATCATCCATACAATAAACACACAAATTAAAAAAAAAAAAAAAAAAAAAAAAAAAAACTAAAACTGTATCACTCAATTTACAACAAGTATTGAAATCGAAGAAGTGTATAGCTAGTTAAATCAATGAATCAACCTGTACAGCTCTTCAAAGCTGAGTCCACTGGCATTGTGATTATATATCTCGTGGATTGCATGTTCCAGAACATTCCATGTCTTTTCAGCGTACTTGGGATCCACCACAACGCGGTGCTTGAACGCTTCTATCTGAAAAGGTCTCTTCTTCTGCGTGCTCATCTTTTCCGCAAACCGAGCTCGTTCTCCGAGACCAAACCCTAAGGAATCGGAATCCGAACCCTAACCAAAAGCTTCAATTCGAACAAAATCAAAGCGAAGTGAAACAGAAAACAACGAATTCAGAAGAAGAAGAAAATAACCGGGAAATGAAGACAAACCCTAGCAACGGTGTGAAGAATCCCAATTGGGATGGTGAAATTAGGGTTTGATTTGAGAAAGTGTAGTTCCAAATAAATGAAAGTAAAAAAAGGAAAAAAAAAAAGAGAGAAAAAAATGGAGAAAAGTGAATGAATAATTGAGAGTAGTCACTAGTGAGTTATGAGAAACACTGACTATGGAGGACTTGTTTTCAAGACAATGCCAAATTTTTAGCAACTCTTACACTAATAATTTTTTGGGAAAGAATACTGTAACAACCAAGTTGTGTTACTATCAAGTTACTACTAATCAATCTCACCGTTAGATCGATAATGTTGATCCAACGGTTATATTTATTTTCATCTTTGTATGGTCATGATTTCCCAAATTTAATATTTTATATTTATTTTCACCTTTGTATGGTTATGATTTCCCATATTTAATGTTTTCACTTTAAATATAGAGAATCATAACCATACAAAGATGGAAATAAATATAACCGTTGGATCAACATAATCGATCTAACAGTGAGATTGATTGGTAGTAACATAACTTGGTTGTTACAATATCCTTCCCCTAATTTTTTTTTCTTTTTTTGATGTGTGACTCTTGAATTAACTGGGCTAAACATTTTTTTCTAAATTAATTGTATTTTAATATTATAATTGAAGGTACATAGAGTGAGAGAAGTGGAAAACATTTCTTCAAATAAAAAAAAGAAGGAAATACTACTCTCACTTTACATGGGATAGTTATCTCATTTTCTCTCACTTCGAAAATCGGACCCCTTCTATTTTCTTTTTCTTTTTTGCTTTTTAATGGTGGGCCTCACTCAAACTCTCTCTACAACATGAGAGAACTACTCCCATGTAACATAAGATTAATATTTCCTAAAAAAAAAATAAGTGGAAGACTCCTTATGTTTGAGTTTAGACTTTAACATGGTCGAGAGAGAGAAATTATGTATGGAAATCACAATTACCAAGAATATATTGGGAAAGTGAATTTTCTGGAAATATGATAAAAAAAATAGATAGAGGAGGATTTATTCAATCACATAGTTCGGGCTTCTATAATATGACACCTTGGATTTAACAACAGTTCGAAAGGTTGATCAATTCGGGTGGCTCCTCTCTTTTCGAGAATTCATATATCCCTTATTAGTATATGGACAGCTTGACATGTTTCGGTCCTCCTTTCCATTCCTTAGAAAAAGTGAGACACCGAACTGCTGACATCCGCCACAGAGTAAACCACTGCCTCATGGTAGCCTAATCCAGTTCCCTTACGCTACTTTTGTTATTGGGTTAGCCATACACTTTACATGTTTCCAGCGATTCACATAGCATTATCAAATTATACAAGTTTTGGATAAGAATCTACAACGCACTAGAATGTTGTATGAATTTTTGCTTATTTATAATAAACAAATTTTTTTTTTCATTTTATTTTGATGCACAATTATTGGGTTCGGGTTCGGAGCGGAGGAGGAAGTCGGAGAATGAGGAAGCAAGTTGCTTTGCATGGTTGAGTTGAGCGTATGTGGAGTTTAGGGAAGTGAGGTGAAGGAGATTAGCGTGTAAATGGGAACAGAGATTGTGGGAGAGGAGGCGGGGGAGAGAGTCGATGAAGGAAGGAAGGAACACGACGGCGCTGTAAGTGTAGCGGTGGCGGTGCTGAAGGGCGCGCCACTTCGCTGACATGTTTGATGAAATGCCTCAGTGAAAGTGTGTCGTAAGAAAAAAGTAGAAATTGAGGGGCTGTTTGGTATGTAGCTTCTCTTGGAAATCATGGGAAAGTGATGTAAGTAAACAATATTTATCATGTTTGGTAAATGGTTTTCACCAAAATAACCAGTATAATAATGCAACCGAGAAAATATGTTTGTACTAGACGTTGGCACAAATGAATGCAATGTGAACCGTGGTATTAATTTAATCCACCAATTGAGATTCCTGTTTTGTAATTTTTAAGACGAAAATGCCCTGAAAAAGCAACATTTTGTCATTGATAATTTTAACATAATGGGTAAAGACGTAATTTTAACCCATTTCCATCAATATTTCACCATTAACCAAACGTGGTACTACTAAAAAGAATCCAATTTTCCCAGCAAAATTGGTGCCTACCAAATACCTTTTTGTAACTTACCCAACCAAAAATTATTTCCATCATATTCTGAATAATTTTTTGTTACCGGTAATATAAAATTTCTCCTATACCAAACGCCCTGGGAGAGAACAAAATGACACACGGGAACTTGGATTTTAAATTTTATCAAGCTTGAAAGTTGCACACATTTTTCTAAAATGATAATTGAAAAATGGGAAATCATACGGGCTTGTTTAAAAAAAAAAAAACAAGTCTTATATGGAGCAATAAACCAATTTTTTACCAGTAAATTTCTTGGAATAAAAATATAAACATGTTTTAACATGAAATATATCCAATAAAATAGATGAACTAAAGTAATTAAATACGATAGTCAAAATCATACCTATGAAAAAACTCAAGCCCGGTTAGTGCACGTCTTGCTGATTCTCGCTTATGAACATTGAGGAATCCAATCATGCGACGAACCAAAGCAGTATAAGCCAGACAAGCACTATTTCTAATTTCCCAGTATGGTGAAGAGAAAGAGCGAATAGACAAAACCAAAGCCTCAGCAGAGAAACCAGACGTATCAGTGGCCAAGTTAGTGTCATTGAATGCAGCTCTTAGAACATTAAATGCATGCACTGTAGGAATCACACCCTCATCTCTGATCTTTGACAACATCTGTCTCACATTTGTTTCATCTGTCTGTGTAGAATTATTTTCTTTTGTTGAATCATTTGACTTGCATGAGTTATCATTCAAGCTATCAGTTTCAATGTGATTCAGCATAAACTCATTACCTACATCTATAAGCCACCTTAATGCCCGTGGGAGGAGCTTCTTTGGTGTGCCTTCTGGCTCTGAGAGAAACAGAGCAGTAAATGCAGCAGGTATTCCAGCACTTCTTCTCAGCAAATCATCCACTACTTGTCCTTTGGCCACAGTTCTTTGCATAAGTTGTTCCATCCAGGACTCTGTCAACCTATGAAGTCTGAAAAGGAATATACACATTAAGAAGTGGCAAAGACATACTATTTATGATATGATGATTTGGTTATAATGATATAACCTTCCTTAATAAGCCAAACAAACATAATTCTCTTTTTATTATGCAGAAGAGGGTAAATGCCACAGCCTAAGAATCCATATTACATCTGCAGGGGCATTGCCCTTGACAAGATCATAAATTTAATTTTACATCTCATTTACCATACACATTTTCATCGTAGTGTTTTATCTATGATGGTGTAGGTGAAGAAAATAGGAATTTAAAAACCTAACTGCTTCAATATCTATCAGTAAAGCAAAGATACTAAAGAAGCATCAAAAGCCACCTACTTGAGGCCATAATTATTTGAAAGTACAAGAACAGAAAATCCAACCACAACCACTTAGACCTAGCATATAGTCAAGAGAGGATCCAATTAAATCTCCTAGATAAAGAAATTTTTATAAATATAATATAAAATATAAAACTATTTATCTGCCTTCACCTAACAAGCTTGAGTTTTTGGGAGAGTTGGTTGTATCACATGGTATCAGAGTCTCTATGACCATGTGGTCATAAGTACTATCCTTGTCGTCCCCATTCTTCTAATATTCTAAAAATTATCGTGGAATTTCTTAGCACAATGAGATGGGCTTGTGCATTGTCCACCCTTCAAGCCCAATGAGCTATTGTGTGAAGGGCGTGTTGGAAATATAATATAAGGGTTTTATTAATCTCCTTCCACATAAGATAGTTATCTTATGTGGTAGAGAGAAAATGGGTGGGTCCCACCATTACAAGAAAAAAGTGGAGTGCGAAAATCGAAGTGAGAGAAAATGAGATAAGTTACCTCATGTAAAAGGAGAGTAATATTTCCCATAATATAAATATAAAACCATTCAATTGCAAGGAATTTTCACTAGGAATCAGAATTCTAATTCTAAAAAAGCATACCAAACATAATATTTAGAATTGCAGGGTACAATTCCAATTCCAAGGTTCAATTCCAAGCCCCATGCCTCATGTTATTCTGGAATAATTACATAGGAAAAAAAAAATGTAAAAGCTTTCACTAAGAGAGTGTCATTGCCCCTAAACTTGTCATGAGATAAGGATTATGTTTAATGGGATACACTTCAGTGTTGCATTCCAGAGTTCTATTGCGATCTTTTTTAAAATCTTTTGGTTCAAAGGATATCTTATCCTCCCCTAGTTGGATACATTCCCCATTTTATCTCTTGATAAAATTTATTTTTCCATCAAAATGTATAAAAAAATGACAGCTTTCATTAAGATATAAGTTCCTTCACTTACAAATAGAAAATATTTGTTAGAATATCTAAAAAATATCTAATAATATCTTTATTAAATCTTAAAGGAGTGGTTTCCAGATTCCATTATATTTCCTTATTTGATTTGATTAGGATTAGGATTAGGAGTATAGTACTAATATAAATAGGGGTTAGCACTTTGTATTTTGTATCACATTATTAAACACTAATCAATATTATCTTATATCAAGTACTCATTTCCACTCTCTTCATCCTTCTCTACCTAAACCCTACAATTTCAAAAATAAAAAACTTTCTTAAGATGAAAAATCAATAAAGCATTTGATGGAAATAAAAATAGAGTACCAAAATCCACACCTTGGGTCATCTGAGCAAAGTAAGCGATTGCAAAGAGTTGTGAACCCAGCCCTTGTCTTATCAATTGCACCATTATGCTTCATCTTCAAGAGGACTTCTAGAAAGTGATTCCCAATTGTTTCAAGTTGTTCCAAATCAATCACAGAATTAGATGAAAAGGCAGCATTATCAACAGAAAAACCCTTCGACTCAGATAAATCTGAACATGCATTACTTGGCAATGGTACCTTTCTTATAATAGTCCCCAAAAGAAGGCTCACCTGAAGAAGAAAACATAGTGAAAAAACAATGGGAACCAAAAAATAAAATAAAATAAAAATTGTAGACTTATGTATCAGATAATGAACAACTTTCAATCAATTCTTACTTGAAACAAACAATTCTCTATAATTTGTAAATATGTTTTCTTGGCATCATTTCTAGATTTATAAGCAAGTAATTTTAAAGAAAATATTGTTATCAGCCAAGAAATAAGTAATGATAATTTGAAACCTTTATTCTTTTTGCTTTAGCCTTTGAAGAGTTATAATCCAATACAATCATAAGTTCCTACAAACTGTTCAAGTACCTCTTTCATAGCCAGCCAGAAACCAACCATGACAATCTGTTCCGATGATCTGACATCATGGGAAGGCTTTGAATTATTGTTCTCATATTCAGATGAAGGCATGTGCTCATGCTCATGATCTGGTATCTCCAACAAAAGATTATCATCATCAACCATCTCATCCATGTCTTCTGGCAGATACCAAGCATCTGCAGAAACCACCCAAAGTGCCAATGAAGTTATCCGCACAACAAGCTCCAAAAGTCTTTCCAAAAAATATCTCATCTCTGAGATGCTAGACGATATGACATCCGAATTCCAGTCCAATTCCTCAAAAGTATAACGTAAAGCGAGTAATACACCATGGACAAAGCTGCTCTCGCATGCTTTAGAAAGATCTTGCTCTCCATTTCTTACAGCAACATCTAACCAATCAATCATTGATTTCATATACAGTATCACGGGATTCCTCAATTTACTAGACTGATTAACATCATTTACCAATTCAGACTTTGAGCTTAAATGGACAACCTTGAATGAGTCTTCAATCAACCAACCTAGCTCCAACGCATACTTTCTAAAAATAAGCCGTACAGTTAGAGCTCCAGCATCACTTTCCCTTACACGTGGACTACAAACTAATTTCATAGCCCATGCAATTACCTTCTTCAGCATGTCTTCATTTGAAATTCCAGGTAGTGGGGTTGGAAAATGGAGTAATATGTGAAAGGAACTCTCTCTTAACCTGTCCCAACTATCAATAATTGAACCAACTAACAATAGAGTTGAATCAGATGAAGTCATTCCCTTAATGTAAGGATAGAGATGATTTCCAGACAAAGAACTATTAAACTCCTCACTAATTGACGGATTAATAGACCAAACATTTATCATAATCAAGATGAGATCCATTGCCATTATTTTTCTCTTGTAAGGAGCGGAAGGATAGCATGAGAAAAATAAGAATCCACTCAACCACCTCATAAAGCGAAAAAGATCATCTGCTCTTTTAATTGCCAATTCTTTATTACCTTTCAAAGGATACACTTCATTAGCTTTATTATGCTCAAGAGGGTTCCAGCTTCCTTGCTTGAATTGTCTCTCAAGGGCTGTTCGAACCCTAGAGAAGAACTTACGAAACAAGCTGCTCCACTTCATCTGAAAAGCAGTAGAGCAACACCTCATATTCAAAGGCACAGCTTCCTCCATTAGAGTTAGCTCTAAATGAGAAGGCAGACTAGACGTCTTGGGGTTTAAGAAAAGAGACTCAGCAGCATCAACACGTAGTGACTCATCCACATGGGTCAATGCATTTACTAGCCACTGAACATGGATCTCAACATTTATTCCCTTTATGCAAACAAGAGCATGCCTTTCTGTTCCCAGCCCAGGCTCTTTTTCATCTGCTGAAGGATTTTCAGACCAATCAATGTCCCCTTCAACCAAAGCAAGTGACCGAGATACCTTGAGCAAAGAAACTAGAATTGCAATTCTCTGTTCAAGATTCAATTCCAAGTTCACACAAACAAGCTCTGGATATTGCAGTTCATTTTCATCCCCATTTGGCCCAACTGAAATGAAACTAAGCATAGGAAATATACTATCCACATCCACTTCCAGTAAAACTGGCAGAGCATAAGTATTTATATTGGTTCGAAGTTTTGAGAATCCAGAAGCTAGCCCATACAGAATTGGGGGAAGACAATGCCCTCTATAGAGGGCATACCCACCTTCAATGCCATCAGTCTCCCAACACTCATCACACAAATACTCAAGGAAACACTTGAGAAATGATGTGGTAGCACAGCAGACATCGTCATCGACATATGCCTGTATTGCCTCAAATATAAGGTTCGGGTTCATCTCTAACATTTTCTTCGCTCCCAACCTCTTGGTTAGCAATGCTAGAGGAACATATCTTCCCTTACATCTTGACCTCAGGGAAAGAATATCTGATCCGATCTTCTGCAAAGACTTGTTTATTTTGTCACCACCCTCTGACCAACAAATGGATGATTGAATGTCCATGAAAAGATCAAAAATGAGATGAACTTGTTTCACCGTTTGACTCAAAGGGTCTTCCAAGTTATTCCAGATAATCCTAAGTATCCGCATCCCCATTTCTGCAGGAATAGGATCATACTCTCCCGACAAATCTGTAAGATTCAATAACATCAATGTTTTTATCTGTTGTAAACAAATTTGCATCACAGTCAATGCATGAAAATTGAAATGGCTATCAACAGGGTTCACACAATACTTGCATAGCTCAGGCAAAATTCCATCATACAATATAGTCTTGATACGCCCTCCAACGTCTTTTCGAACCTCGTAGCCATTTACATCACCAAAATGAGTGTTAAGCAAGTTTCTAGAAACTGCAGTAAGAATCCCTCTTATAAGATAAAGCCTACTCAGCACAGAAAGACTACACATTCCCTGATAGATACCCCCTTACAAGGAATTTTATCAATGGCATTTCTAAATTCACTGTCACAATAACCACCAACATCCGAATTCGAGGCCTTTAAGTTAAATATACCTTGAAACAAGACCAGTCCAAGCTCTTCAGAACTGATACAAACTTGAAGAGCTGCACAGAGTGCTATCCCAGCAGCCACAAAGCAATCCCTGGAAAACGCAGAGGAATTCAATATGCTCAAAACAACAGTAACAATCCCTTCCATAACACTTGAATAACCTTCTAATTCTTCTAGAACCACGCCATTCTCAGAACTACCCAATTCCCTGAACTTGGAAGGAAACTTCTGCAGCAAGTAATACAAGCAAGACAAAGCCTCTTGACACTGTTCCATAACAATTGGGGAAGGTCGAGCCAATCCATCATTGGTCTCCAAAACGACACCGTTTAAACCACGAACCACGTCCCAAGCTACCAAAACAGCACAACCTTCAACAACATCAACCAGGTACCCCAACTTGGGCATACCCAGAACCGACAACACCGCGCGCGACACGGTGAACCGTTTCCCCTTGCCACGGTTACCATAGCCCTCGCAGAGTTTAAGGAAAGACCCACCAATTATTGAACGGAAAGTTCGCACCTTTGCGAGAACAGAAACAAGGGTTCGGTGCAAGGGCACGGAATTTTCAAGAAACACAAGCTCCAAGTAAAACCCAGAAGCCAAACGGACCGCGGGTTCGGATACGGATTCGGGTTCGGGTTCGGAGCGGATGAGGAAGTCGGAGAATGAGAAAGCGAGTTGCTTAGCGTCGTTGAGTTGAGCGTATGTGGAGTTGAGGGAAGTGAGGTGAAGGAGTTTGGCATGTAAATGGGAACAGAGTTGGTGGGAGAGGAGGTGGTGGAGAGATTCGATGAAGGAATGAGGGAACACGACGGCGCTGTAGGTGTAGCGGTGGCGGTGCTGAAGGGCGCGCCACTTCGCTGACATGTTTGATGAAATGCCTCAGAGAAAGTCAGTTTGGTTTTACAAAGGAGGAGGCGCAGCCGCAGCGTGTAGTGTTGTGTCGCAGGAACAAATTGTTGGGTTTTGAATTTAATCAAGCTTTAAAGTTGCACACCATCATTTTTCTAAGATGATAATTGAGAAATACATAAAAATAAGAAAAATCTTCCTATTATTTTGTTTTGAATCATTTTTCTTCTTATGCTTTTTCAACCACTTAGCTTTTATGGTTTAAACTCAATCTTAACACCATTAAAAACTTAATTAATTTGTCTATTTTATCCTTCTTAGACATATTTATTCTTTTTTCTTTTATTTTCCTTTTTTTTACTTTTAGTTTTTTCTACAAGTGTGGTATGTTTGCAATATATTTGGTCTAATTTTTTTTTTGTTATCAGTTTATTTTCTTTTTCTAAACAGGATAAAATATATAAATTAGTTAAGTTTATAACGATGTTAAGGATGAATTTGGATACAAAAATCATTAGCAGTAAGTGATTAAAAAAAGGTAAAAGGGCAAGTGATTCTAAACAGAATTATTTACCACTTTTTTCTCAAAATAATAAGGGAGATTATATTTACGATCTCTTTCACTAACAATCAATATTGTCAAACTCGAGTTTCTACGTAGAAACAGAAAGGAGTGGTAGAAACGTAAAACGTAGAAACGACACAAAATGTAAAATTTCTACTTTCTACTACTTAAGGTCAAGATACAAAATTATATATATATGCATGTAAAAAAAAAATATTACATAATGAACATGTGTGTTGAGCCACTTATCTATCTAAAAAGAAATTATTTTTTTTTATAACCAAGTATCAAAATTATAAACAGTGATAACTAACAAATAACAAGTAATGAATAACCAATCTGCTCTAACTGCTTCATACACTATGCAGATTTTGGATCATCACTAATCATGATATAATTTCACTTCTTTTCAATGCATACAATGATCCAAAAATACAAAACGATTCTCATTGCATAACTTATAATATAATTGTATCTTTATAAGACATAATTATAAAAGACATATATCCAAACAAAAAGATATCAAGATATTGTGTATATGATTTGGGGAAAAAAAATTTGGGTTTTTTTTTTAATTTCTTTTTTTGTAAATCTTTTTTTTTTTTAAAAAAATTTGTTTTAAGTAAAAACGGTCAAAACGGTAAAAATGTAAGTTTTTACCATTTTTACGTTTTTACACGGCGTTTTTACCAAGGATTTTTTTTTTTTGGTATGCTACCAAGGACATTTTTTACTTGCGTTTTAACACGCACCACTCTAGTACAAACGTAAGTTTTTATATTTTTACACTAGTTTTTGACAACAATGCTTACAACATCTTCCAACCAAATTTTAACTATTAATTTTTGTCAATTTGACGGTTATAATTTATTAAAAATTAATAATTAATTAATAAGTGTGACCTAATAAATTATAACCGTCAGATTGGCGAAAATCAACCGTTAAATTTTGGTTGTAAGAGATTGTAAGTGAAAAGAGGATATGATATCCGAATATGGCCCCGACATATATCCGAATATTCTGGGGATTTCGAGACAGTAACGGTATTGTTTATACAGAATGATATTTTGGGTTTGTGGACCCATGATTGGTCATTGTGGACTTCTGTAACAATAAATCTAAGTCGGAATCTAAGTGATTAAGGGCTTATGGCTTTGTGAGAAGCCTAAAGACATGAAACGTAAGAGGAAGACGTTGTCTCTATGTTATTATGCACACACCATACCCTTTAGTTATACTAGTATTATAGTGCACAATAACCCGCTGATCTTTAATCTCCCTCATAGATGCTTGAGAAAGGGTGCGCATATCCAATATATATATATATATATAGGGAAAACATTTTCTCGTGTTGCATGAGAATTCAATTCTCATGTTGTGACCCTTCGATTTGCGTGTAAAACTTTTCTTTTCTTTTTCTTTTTTTAATAAATGTGGGACCCACCACTAGTTGAGTCACAACATGAGAATTGAATTCTCATGCAACATGAGAAAATCAAACCCCATATATATATATAGGGGCAGGATCATTTTACACCGGTGTAAGAGTAGTAAATCTTACACCAAATCTTAACCATTGATTTTCTGCATCAAACGGTTAAGATTTATTAGGTCTCACTCATTAATTAATTTTTAATTTCCAATAAATCTCAACCGTTAGATGCACGAAAATCAACGGTTAAGATTTGATGTAAGATTTATTATTCTTACACCGGTGTAAGTTGATCCTAAAATATATAAGGTATGATCCTTTGACACCGGTGTCAAATTTCACACCTCATTTGAGAGCCGTTAGATCAAAAAAGATCAATGGTGTCACATGCTTACAAATCAGAGTCGTTGATCTTTTTTGATCTAACGGCTCTCAAATGAGGTGTCAAACATCAAATTTGACACTGGTGTCAATGGATCTTTCATATATATATATATATATATATATATATATATATATATATATATATATATATATATAAAAGGTAATATAAAAGTTATATTGTAGGAAAAATTATTGTGTTATGTTATAGAGATTCGTTTTCCGTGCCGTAGGGACATTTTTTTTTTTGCTTCAAAAAATGCGGGTCCCACAAAATATTGTGTGTAGGAAATTTTTTGTGATCATGTTGCATGATGAATGCAAACCCCATATATATATATATGGGGAATGATATAGTGACAACTAAGTTGTGTTACTACCAAGTGACTACCAATCAATCTCACCATTAGATCGATTATATTGATCCAACGGTTATATTTATTTTCATCTTTGTATGGTCATGATTTTCCATATTTAAAGTGAAAGCATTAAATATGGAAAATCATGACCATACAAAGGTGAAAATAAATATAAAGTATTAAATTTTAAAAATCATGACCATGCAAAGATGGAAATAAATATAACCGTTAGATCAACATAATCGATCTAACGGTGAGATTAATTGATAGTCACTTGGTAGTAACACAACTTGATTGTCATAATATCCTTCCCCATATATATATATATATATATATAAGGCTTCCTATAGGCCGTCCAACCCACTTTCACTCCTTTTCTTAATGCTTTTCACAGCCCATAAAAAATAGAGATTCATTTTTATTTTATTTTTATATTTATATTTTTCTCAAAAAATATTATTGTGAATATGAATATATGTTATTGACAACATACACGACTGCAACAAATGAAATTAGACAAAAAAGAAACAAGAATTTGATAAAATTAAACAAAACGACAACATCAGATGAAATTAAACAAATAATAACAACCATAATAATAATAATTTGCCATTACCTACGATTACGATTAGATACCTAATGAAACTATTCCTTGTCTCCAAGATGCATTGAGCAAACGCCAAGGGCGGTTGATTCTAATAGAGCCAGCTTCCCAAATAAGAGTTTCTGCATTTAAAAAATAAAATAAAAGATGTTTTTTTATTTACTTTCTTAGAGTCCGAACAAATTAAAAATTATAAACAATCTTCAAACAACTTAACTTTAGCAATAATAATTTGTGTGAATTAAATTAACGTAAAAAATCGTTATCTTCTTCTATCGTTATTTAATTAATTCCATATAGTAAGTCAGATATATAAATTGTTTGCTCCAAATTTTAAATATTTAAATATTATTTTTAGAGAAATGTTATACTTATTACCATTTTAGCTTTACTACTCTTAATTACTACCTAATTAGTTATTGTTGAATTAATTTGAAATCAACAAAAGTTAATTTTTTTCATTTTTTAACTATTAATTTTAAATTGATCCAACAATAACTAATCAAGTAATAAAAGTAGTAACCCTAAAATGGTAGTAAATATAACTTTCTTTTTTAGGAGAGAATCATCTTAGGCCTAATCTCATTTTTAAATCTTTACTCCTCCCACTTATTCACCTAAGTAATTTTTTTATCGTTTTAATCATTGCAATTTAATTAAAATACCCTTGTTTTCACTCTTGCTTAAATTATTTTATTAGACATAATTTTATTTTATTTTTATAATAGGTTCGTAGAGTTCTAAATTTTTTTTTAGTCTTTCTATTTTTAAATAAATATTTATAATTCAACTAAGTTTTGTTAAGTGTTTTTTAGACTTCTTCTTTTTTTCCCTCTCCTTCAAATTTCATCTTTCTTTTTTTTCTTTTTGTGTAATTTTTTCGATTGTTCTTGTGCTGTTTTATCGGTTGCACAATGGCATCGTACTCTTGATTATTCAAAAATAAAGAAAAAGAAACGGCAAGATCTTCGAGATGGATACATTTGCCGGTTCCGTCTTCCTAAGAAAATTAACAATTACAGATAATCAGGAATTTTATTCATAAATGTAAAAATATAGTTTTGAGGTTTGATGTAAATCCATGGAAAAAAGAATGTCCATTGGTCCATGTAGATATGTAGTCAACATGTGGACATATTTTTTCGATACGAAGTTTTTAAAATATGAAACTTGTTAAGTTAAAATACAAAATTAACAATTACTCATAAAAACGATTTTAAAATGAACTTAAATTTTAATGAAAAGTTGCTCTGTTTGAATCTTGTTTTCAAAAACAGTTTTTTAGTTTTTAGAACAAAAAAATTAAAAAAACTCATTTGGTAAGGCCTGTTTTGTAAAAAATGTTTTGAAAACTATAACTATTTTTTTATTTTTAGAATCAAATTTAAAGAACATGTCTGAGTTGTTTTTGTTTTCTGTTTTAATTTTTAACTTTTAAAAATAAATAAATATAGAAAATAATTGTTTCCATAATTATTATACAAAACAGTTTCAAGTTTTTTTGCGAAAAAGTAACATACACTCGCAGTTTTCAAGTTCTGTATAATATTTAACTTTTATATAGAAGAAAGAAAATGTGCGGGTGTATTTGATTTGTGAAAATATTTTCTGTTTTCATTAATATTTTCTATTTGATGTGTCCATTTTTTTAAAAAACAATAACATTGCTGTGATGTGACTATTAACAGAA